TAATAAAAAATTTTTTGAATCATGAATCATAAGGTACTTTAGGACAATTATGCAGAAAGTCGAGGGAACGAAGTGAGAATAATTCATGAATACAAAGTCCCACCAACTACTTGGGAAGAAGAGATATTCTAGAGAACAATTAAGAGTTTTGGGTCAACAGGCAGGGTCAAGCTTTCAGGAAACAACGTAATTCCAAAACTATTGGCAGAAACGCTTCTCAGCGACAGTTCCCACCGTTAGCTATGGAGGTGGAACCGGTTTGAAATACCAGGTAGTGTGTAATATTCGCGTGATTACGAAAGTCGGAACAAAAATGTAACATCAAGTCCATCTTCAAGAAATCGGATTTAAACAAAATTAGAAAGAAAAAAGAGTCTCAAAGACAACTACTGGAAAGTTCGGCCTTGCATGTGTGATGGCCTCATACGGTCCTTTTGAAGGATAAAAGATAAAATATCGGGCGTTAATCAATCTTGTGTGGGGTGCGCCACGCATTCGACTTCCATTCAGAAACGTAGTGGCGTAATGAGAGCGTATGTGGCCCATACAATGAATTGTGGTGGCCAGCCGTTATAGAAATCAGTGTTCTTATCCTCCTAGACGGGTATGATACCACTTAACCGACCCAGAAGGAATGGAAGGCTTGGTTGGCCTAGTCGAATTTCAACCAGGGATTCGAATCCGTGGCTGTGCGTGTGAGATAGTGAGACACTTGCCACTACACCGCAGGCTCCTTATGATTCCTGCATGCCTTTATGTAAACTTTTTTGTGGTCGTGCATGCCTTCATGTAGTTTTTTTTGTGGTAATGTCTTACTTGGCACAATTACTTCAATTTTCCAGGTTGTTATTGCATTTATTGGGCTCATAACAGCGAAGCATTCCTAGAGAACTGGCGGATGGATTTGTCTCTAAGCGCGTCACCACCCAGACGTCAGAATAAGCGATGGACTGGGTCACTTTTTGTCCATTTTGCAATTAACTTCACCTAGTCTCCGTGAAGACAAATTCATCTGTTCAATTTGTGAACCTGATTTCCGCACCACGGATTTCCTGCCTGGAATCTCCTTTTCAGGAAGGAAGATCCCCAAATCACAACAAAGAGGACCGAGAATCGAATCACAAAGTTAACTTTCGAGAACCGAATGATCTTTCGGAATGGAAGGTTGATTGATACATCTTCCTTCTCGCAAATAAATGAATTAAGCGAAGTAAAGAGTAGTTGGGAGGGCTGTAATCAATTATTTTCTTTTTAAACTGTCGCGTCATAAGAACAAAGCAAGGCAGAAAGGCAATATTTATGCCTGACCGGGTAGTACATCAACATTACAATATTGCGCTGACTTCTTCATCATTTTTATGACATATTCATATTAGACCGGAACGTAGGCCAAAGATTGTAGGTATCCAAAATTTTTTGACTTTTGTGACATTCGTTGAAAAGTCTTATCGGTTTACATCAAAGGCACGGTTCACGATAAAAATCATTTTTCAGATTTTCTCCTAAGATGATTCTGTGACCTCCTAAAATAGTACAAAGGACGCTTTCATGTCGAAAAATGGCTTAGATAGGGCGAACCCCAAGATCGGCTCAGTCATCGTTCACATCCAAAGGCGGACGAGTGCTGTTGTAGAGGCTGCATGGGTTGCACCGTTCGGCGTATACGTTGCAGGCAGGCAGCTAACTGTTCCCCAGTTGTGCGCAATTTCACACACTTCTGGATAACTCGTCCAAATGCCCATTCATTGCAAGTTTCATCGAAACATTCTCGTCCGATGCCTAAATTTAATACATTTTTTATAAGGGTTCATATTCTTCTGAGTGCGCCTATTTTCCGCGTTTTCTTCATGTATTTTGCACTGCTCTACACTATCACTTCCATCATTCGTCTAAAACTATATAACCAAAATTATCGTGAACTGTGCCATCAAGTGTACTGGTATCAGCAAACTCTTGCATGCTATCGTATTTAATTATCACGTCAAGCTGTATCAAGATGATATTGCTGGTCCCATTGTCTAGTCAATATTGCTGGTCCCATTGTCTAGTCAATCTTTCAAATAGGGCATGCCCTTAGTTGCCCAACACTTACTCCTTCGAGCCGTCTTACCGACATTCTGCTCCGACCTTCGCATTTGTGAACGGATCCATTGTGTCCTGTGGTGTACGTTTGTGTCACGAAGGTGGTAAATTCCTCCAATATGTACCAGAACTGCTTCGTCTGGGAATTCCCGGCACAGATGTTCTGCTACGGAAGGCGGGCCTTTGGATAGGTCAGAGTCAGTCGTCTCATAGCATCTGAGCTTTTTTTCGTTGGCCCACTGTGGCTATTCATTTCATGTGATAAAAAGTTTCTCACCTTGTGATATGCATATTCAATCACTGGCCCTGGAAACTAGGTCCCTTTTTTCGTGACCACGCTCGACCCAGATTTTAGTATTCTTCTTCTCCCTAGCGTTCATCCCACTCGTCACAACGTCCGTTCTTCTTGGCAGTCGTCGCCATTTTATCCTATCTACAGTATTTTCTGCGGTGGCTTCGATTACTGCGCGCAGCCCTTATTGAACACCTCTCGCCTCTTTGAGGTTCCTCGAGTGCAGCTTTGAACTACATTGCGTCTATGCCTTTGTTATCGTGTAGTCGTGTGATTGGTGGCAGTCCCACCTCTACACCTTCATTTCCACAAAGTGAAGATTTCTTCCTCGACTCTTGTCTAAGAGCCAGTACAAAAGTAGAGTATCGTGGGGCTCACTATCACTATGCCTTTCACTCGAGCCCCCATTCGCCGTGGATTCGAGCCTCGAGACTGATTAGTATCCACTCTCCCTCGGTGGCTGGGTCAATACATGGAACGGAAATCCTAAATCTTCCAGTAGCTTCTTCGAGTCACCCCATAGTCAGCCCGAGTCACCCTAACCTATTGGCTCCGTGGTCTACTCGAAGCTAGAGGTCTCGATTTTCTTCCCATTAAGCCGGAGTCAATCTCTACCAGCTCATTAGACTATTTCTGAGGCGTCCTCATAGTCATGACTTCCCACTAACGGAGCACATCCTGCTCTGTTTTTTAATCCGCTTTTTCAAAAGAAACTTACCCNGGCAAAGAGGATCCCGGGGCATTCAATCTTTCTTCAAAGGGACCATGAAATTACGAAATATCGAGGACCCTCCCGACATTCGTTGTTGTCACGTTCCTGGTTATGATATTATTATACATACCGTACTGAACGAGCAAAGAGTATAAATGCCTGGAAAATAAAACAGATTTCAGTGAGACCGATTCACATTGTCCTGATAAATGGCACCAGCTCAGTAGCCTTAACCACGATAATAACATTTAAAGTCACAAGAAACTTTTTAGAAATTTCTGGAATTGTCCGGTCATGAGTTTAGTTGTCCGATATCGCTCGTGAAGGATTGCATGGGTTCCACCTGTTCAACGACGGATATTTCAGAAGCGATTTTCTACGGCGAGCTTTGACGAAAATATGACGGAGGAATCGTCGTCATTCTCCGAGGACACCATGATGATAGATGGTCTCAAAATAGGTTATTGCCGATACGGTACTGGCCCAAAGGCAGTGCTGTGCATTTGTGGAGCCGTTGGCAAGTTGCTTTCCTTGCATATCAGATGAAGTGCACCTTATTTTTTAAAATTATTTGTTTCATAACTCGTAAAATATAAGTGTGTTCAGGCAGTTACAAGAAAGACTGGCCTCTCTCAGTTTTGGAGCACTTTGACAGATCGTTACTGACAATTGTCTGTATCGATCCTCCCGGCTATGGTGTCTCACGTCCTCCGGATCGTGTTCAAGAAGTAAATCGATGTATGAAAGATGCTGCCTTCTGTTTGAAATTGATGGAGGTAGTCGATTTTCCACAATGCGAAGCAGTTGATGTTGAAACTCCATCTAACTGCTCCTTTTCAGAATCTTGAGCTCACGCCATTCACAGTGATCGGCTGGTCTGAAGGAGGACGGACAGCTGTGCACGTTGCTGGACAAGGAGGTCCGGGAAAGGTTCGATTTCGCTGCGGTTCCGTTTTCACAAAACAGCTCTTAAGACTAAAAGACCCGTCAAAGCAGACGCACATGCGCTTACAGCATATTGTTGAAAGTCAATGTTCCATACTGCCCTGTCGTACAGTTTTGCTATAATTGAACCGCCATATTGGTCAAGGTTTTGAATGAACACCCGTTTAAAAAGACCTAAAAATAGTTCAAAGCTCTTGATCCGTGGCTCACTGGACTAAGCGCCTGAACGGGCTAGGCTAGTTGCAACAATTTCCGAAAACTCGGACGTCTAAAGACCACAGCCAAGTAGTCAACCTTCTGCGGTTCCACCAACGTTGACGTCCCACTCAATTAACAAGCGACCAATTAAACACCAATGATGATCGTCAGATCAGAATTACATTTGTGGTATCTCAAAGCCCGCAAAAAGGAATGAATGACTAGAGTTCAGTTGTTATGGACATGCACCCATTTCGGTTGTTGGATTGGTTGTTCAGCTTCGTATTCTTTGCGCGGATATGAAGCACTCCCACTATCTTCCTACCACTGATATCTTTCTCGTAGGCTGGGTTCTGCATTCGATGTCGAAATCATTGCCATGATGTCCTTCAAGATGGTGCATCCCAAGTGGTGGGAAAAGAATTCTACGCCCTGTTCCTGCTATCTGTTGCTAGTAAGAGGGTAGAGATCGTGAGAATATGATGTATCTCCGGCTTCCATTTATATCGGGCTAAGTCAGCGAAGAAGTGCAGTGCACGAGCTAATTCGGCTAGAGATGTTGTCTTGATAAAATCTTCAAGCGTACATATCAAATGTCAGCTGCGCAATAGGCTTCATGATCGCGCGCCTGCTACGCGGATAACTATTAGGTTGGCAAATAAGTCCTGCGACAAAATGGAGATCTTTTTTTGAATCATTTCTAAATTTTTTCATACCAATCAATTTTCGGAAAATTTTTTACCGAAGAAGTCAGCAACCTTCTTTTATCCTTTGAGTCAATCACTAATGCCATCTCTTCAGGAATGAGGGAGCTGTGACTCGAAGAAGTAATTGACTGCCGTTTTTGGATCACATTAAGTTACGAATTTCTTTTCCACAACGGGATGCTCAAAAAGGCGGAGCACATTGTAGTTAAAAGGGGGAACACTCTGCGAGCACGACTGATGAGTA